ACGTCGATGGCTTTACGAGTATTACACTTCGAACATAAATCTACCAGATACTCGTACATAACTCTCCTGCGGGATAACCCGCTGCATCCCGCTGTCCGTGTCTGGAAGCTCCATTTCCCAGTGCAACAAAATATTTAGCCGAAACTCGAACGGAATTCAAACGGCTGATTATCACACACATCGATGCTCTTAGTCGTACTTTGGATTAGTGTCGACAGTTGGTCGATTTAGAGAATGATTGTGGTCTCTGATATTTAAGAACTGAGTCGATTTTCTTCCCGTTTTCCTGTTGGGTACTCATTGAAGCACTTGAATGCATCAGCGTCCTTTTTTCATAAAACGCGATGTCACGGGTATTTCATTATGCGCTTCCTGTTTTTAAATTTAAATGAAACAAAGCGTGTGAAATAGACATTTTTTATTCGTTTGAAAGACCCATTGATGCTAATTTGTGTAGAATATAACATCATTGAAATGCCCCCCACGGTTTCTCTGGGTGAAACGCATCCAAAATGTCCAATTTTTCATGACCCTGGTACCTTGGGAGCTGTCTGACTTGTCCATTTAGTGCAAGTCTTCAGAGAACACTGCAGCCTCTTGGGCTTATTGCGTTTATTCTCCCATCTTCTTCATCAGTCTCGTTCCCTGTACTAGTTTGTACAGGTTCCGTGTTGGATTTCATCATATTCTTCTGGACGTAATTTCGTACGTCCATATATTGCCTGCCTCCTGTGATTCTGTGCCTCACATTCGTATAAGATGTGTAGAGCTGTTTCTATCCCTTCGTTGCATAATTTGCAGCTAAGGTCTCCGTTATTCAGCCCCATTTTATTCAGGTGTCCTCGTAGCGGACAATGACCGGTTAGTAACCCTGTAATTATTCTGAGCCGGTCCCTACTACATTGAAGTAGTCCTTCGATTCTTTTCTCGGACGGTTCCCTAATGAAGGTTTTACTGTGTTTGTTGACAGGTACTTTTGTCCAGTACTCTGTGTGCTTCTTATTGGTCCATGTCCTAATCTGGTACCCCCAGAGCTGGTTCAGGACCTATATATGAAGTTGATGATCCGTGTCTAGCGCAATCATCAGCTTTATCATTACCTGTGATTCCTGAATGCCGTGGCACCCAGTACAAAGTTAATTTGTTCCTGTTTGCAAGTTCATTCAGTTCTTGGCATTCCCAGACCAGTTTTGATGTCACCTTCGGGTTTGTCAGAGTTCCTAGTGCGCTCTTGCTGTCTGTAAAAATAATTGATCCGCTCATTTCTTTGAGGTTCAATTTAATAAGCTTTGCACACTGCAAGATAGCATACACTTTCGCCTGAAAGACGGATGTGTATAGTCCTAGCGGATAGCTGTAGTTTAAATTTCTATCCGCTCGGTATATTCCAGCTCCCGTTCCATGTTTGGTCTTCGATCCATCTGTATACCAGGTGCTTTTTCCAAACATGTTTTCGGGATTACTAATGGTCTTCCACTCGTCACGGCTTATGATTTTGGACGTGAAGTTTGTGTTACAGGTGTACTTCGGTGTCATGTGGTTCGTGCACATGTTCAGTATGTGATCCTCCACTTGTTCCGAAATTTCGGTTCGGTCCGATCTTTTGTAGTTTGGTGAGTTTTCCAGTCTGAATTGGCCCATCCTGGCCTCCCCCATTATCACAAGGTGTAAAGGAGGTAGATCCAGGAGTGTCTCCAATGCAGCTGTTGGAGTAGTTCTCATCGCTCCCGCCATTCCCAAACATGCAAGTCTTTGCACATTGCCTAGTTTGTTGATGGCGGTCGCCTGCTTCATCTTTGGCCACCAGACCAGAGATGCGTATGTTAACCTCCATCGTGTATAGCCAATATACCATGTCTGGTTTTAGCCCCCATGTTTTTCCATAGGTGCGTATGGCGAGCATCAGTGCTACCTCCGCTTTCCTCTTTATCCTGTCCAAGTGTTGGTTCCAGGTCAGTTTGGAATCTAGGATTACTCCCAGTTATTTAACCTCCCCCGACACTTGTATTTCTTCGCCTCGAAGTTTTAGAGGTCCGAGACCCTCCAGTTTAGTCCTCTTGGTGAATGCTACTATGGTCGATTCGGAGGGGCTTATGTTAACCCCTTCTTCTTCGGTCCATCTTGTTATAATATTCAGGACCTGCTGCATGCATCCCTTCACTACGTTTTTGTATTTACCCTGGACTGAGATGACTAAGTCGTCTGCATAGCCCAGTGCTTTATACAATCAAAGACGTTACTTCACCATTGAAGAAAAAAAAAGATCAAAGAGATCTGTACTTCCAGCCGAGTTGGACTGATTAGCCTTTGCCATAGGTTATTAGTTTCATTTTTTCCAAAATAATCTACCTATTCGTCACTCTACAACCCTGGAAATTGATTTTAATAACAGCAAACGTAATACAAAAAGAGCAATCAAATTACCTCTAAAGAGGGTAGGGAACCTACCATGAAACCGGGCGCCCGTGAAAATTAGCCTTGGAATTTCCAGTGGTAATTTATGAGATAGCCAGAATATTATTTCCACTCAATTCAGGAAAACAGGGAGAACAATCTAAACCCAAAAACTGTGTCCCTTCTCAACCACCATGGCATCCACCTTGATATATTTGTCCTTGGTCTGCAACTGAAAACACCTGCATCATAGCCTGAAGATGTTTTTGATCCATCCATGAACGAATAACCATCTGCTGTCAATATTTTCTTCTATCAGAGGATCCAGTCCTCTGTATATAAGTACTGCATAAGATAATTCGTAGTTGACAGATAGAGGCATAAAGTCAGAGGTCATTTCAACAATGGTTGTGATTTCCGGTGTCAAGCAACAGTCTGTTGCACTTTGCATTGAATTGATTTGTGCAACTGGCAATGTGCACAAGTCTTTAATCCGTCCATCTAGCCTCTCCAGAAAAATGTGGAGAAGCGGTAGATCTGAAGAGATCTCCATGGTCGCTGATGGTGTGATACCAATGGCACCATAGATGGCCAGACAAGCCTGTCTCTGAGAGTTTCGCCTGATCCGTTTTATGTGAAGCCTCCGTCCAATAGGCATTTGCTCCATAAGAGAGCATCGGTCTAACTATCATCACATAAATCCAAACCCAAAACCCTAATTTTCACCAAAACCCCTTCGACATGTTCATTGCGACAGTCTGGATTTGTGTTTTTTATCAAGGACAATGCCAAGATATTTCACCTCCGTTCCAAATGGAATGACCTCACCATTGAAGGAAAGTGGCGTTAAATCGTTCAACTTTCTCCTCCTGGTGAAGGGGTTATCACAGTTTTTCTGGGGTTGACAGACATCTGCTTAACCTGGCATCAACTGTGATCAACGGCAATCGTACTTGGGACGATATTTCAAGCTACCCTTCCCGACGTGGACCTTACCAAGATGACAAGATCATTTGCGAAAGCTTGCAGATATACTCGTCTTCTATCGAGAGCTTCAAGCAGACTGTTCATCAGGAATGACCACAGAAGGGGAGATAGTACCCTCCTTGAAAGTAGCCCCTGGTGACCGTGAATCTAATGGCCTCGTCTCGAAGAGTCATGGTTGCAGTTCTGTTTACCAGCTTTCCGTAGATCCAGCCAGTTATGGTCGTATTTATGCCTTTTCCAGCCAGGGCTGATCCTATAGATTTAGGTAGGGCATTGGAAAACGCTTCTTCAGTATCGAGAAAACAGCAACCGCAATCTCCTTGTTGTCAAGGGGTTAGGACATTTTTTGTTCTAGGTTGTTTAATGCCAACTGTCGATTTGTCGGTTTGATATGGCTACTGGTAGTTATTCAGGAGGCCTACATATAAAGCCACTTTAGTGATGTGTCCGTCCGGTAGGGGAGACCGGGGCAAGAAGAAGTTCGGGGCAGCACGGGAAGTAAGCTTGTGTGCGTGAATAGTAATCATGTTCGGAGCGGCGACAGCGCCATCTGCACGAACTTCACTCTCCGCTAGTGTGTCCAAGCAGAGCGAACAGGTTAGAACTCGTTTTTGCGTTGCAGAGAGAAATGCGATATTTGATTCGAAAACTGATGTACAGGCATGTAAGTACCTGTGTTAATGTATTATTTCAATCCTGAGCTTATTATAGTAGTCCAAAACATTAAATTCAAACCAGATTTTTTCGCCGGTAAAGTTTGAGGTTAGAATTGCGTCTTCTTTTTTACCTACGTGTGGATCGGGGTAAGATGATCGGGGCATAATGGGATACTATAATCAAGACTGATAATCAAGTGACTGAAAAAGGTAAAAAACAAATAAAGAAACCTGGAAAAAAGACTGCAAAGAAGATTAAAAAGACAACTGACAAGGAAAACCTGCAGAAAAAGCGTCAAACCAAAAGGTGCAAAAAAGAAACTGAATTGAAAGATAGTTCATCCCAAGAAGAGGATGATGACTGTGCTTGCATCTATTGTGGGTACTTATACTCAGATTCAACCGAAGGTTGGGTCATCTGCGGCGTGTGCCACGGTTGGGCGCATAATTCATGTGCCGGAGTAGATGAGGAAGATGAAGAGGCACACATTTGTGAACGCTGTCTATACGATTAAAAAGCGTACTCGTTTTGCCCCACAGCGTTTCCCATCTTACCCCAGTTATGGGGAAATTTGCCGAGTTTATTTTTTCATTATATGCCAAAAAAAGTTCTGTGATTTTGCATGCCACAACGTTTAATTATAAGAGAGAAATGTATAATGGTTACCTCTTTTGTTAAAGAATGTGATTAAAGAGTTTAATTTTCCTTGTATTACGAGTTTTGTCTTAGCTATCTCATCTTGCCCCAGTCTCCCCTACCCTCTCAAGTTCTTCCAACAGGAAGGATGTACGGCTGTGAAACATTGATGGTAGGAAACATTCCTAATGTAACGTAAATAACTTAATTTTTTTCCTCAAATGTTATACCTTTTGTTGACACAATCATTGTTTTCTAACTCTCTCTATTATTCTCTTCAAAGGAAAATCAATCATGAAAATATTTCATTGAAAATAAAACCTCGATAAAATTGAACTCATTTATTGATTATTGTTAAAATCATTAAAACCACACAATCCATATTCTTTCTCTTTAATGCTACGTTTCTGTAACTTGATAATTCCATTACATGAACATCTATTGATTACAACACTTAGAATTTTCTCAAACATGCAACTACAGTCGCCATCTACCTCAGCGGAACCAAACGAGCTCACTCGGCTTAAAAAGGAATCTAACGAAAGCTGTTTCCATCCCTAGCCGATAGATGGAGAGAAAGCAGTGTAAAACCCCACACCAGTGAACATGAAAATACTATTACTATAAATGAAAAGGTAGCGCAGATGCCTTGAATTAGAAATTGGAAATATTATTCCCCTTTTCGTTTCTCTTGCTAGCTTCAGCTATCCACTCCGTTGGAATCTCTTATATTTCGCAGAAAGGCGTTTTCTTTCACAACCCAAGGATTTGATAGCGGCAAAACTCTCTCTTTCCTTCGCGATGTGAAAAAATAAGCCTTCCCCCCGTTATGAAAGCCCAAATATCGGGCTTCTTGTAGGTCCTGTATTTTCCTGCGCTACTTCCGATTCAAACCTATCTGATAATGTCATTGCCCAGATTATCCAACTTTCTGCGCAACAAAACATGCTCCTCCCTTATCAGTTCTGCCAAAATTTGCATGGCCTTGTCGATCTGCTGCAAGCTGGCCTTGCTGTAGGACGCACGGACATAGTTGCAGGCTTTGGTTGGATCCGCCATGTAGTTCTGCCCGGGAATGAAAGTAATGTGTTTCTTGAGTCCGCGATTCAGGAGCATTTCATACACGTCTGATACTCCTAGGACTTTGAACCAGATGAACATCCCTCCGGTGGGGACTTCCCATTCGCAAAGATTCTTCAGGTGTCGTTCCATAGATGCCATGGTGTAGTCGCAACGAACTTTGTAGAATGCTCTGACTCTTGCGAAGTAGGACAGGAGACCGTCGATTCCCCACAGTTGGAAGAGCTTTTCCAGAATGACCTGTGAAAAATGAAACATGATACAATCAATTTGGTGAAATGTTTCGGCTGAAAAGTTGTCTCCCTGAAGTACTATACGCCGTTCCATCGAAAATTCAACCTCTCTTGTTTCGATGGGGCTAATTTTATTATGGAATCCTTACCCAAAACTTTATTTTTTTGCGGGCAGCTACCCAAAATGCATAGGGGATTGAGTGATACATCATTTGAAAGTTAACTAATCCCTTCACCCCTCCCTGTAATTTTTTCAAAATAGGTCCATTTGATATGGGAGATTTGGTAAAAAAAAGGAATTAACTACATCAAATACAGTGCTTTTCTTTAATGTCTCATCCCCTTTTGATTTTTGAACTCAAACTCAAAAAATTGAAATTTGGGATGATGAAATTAATGCATGAATACTCTATTTTGAAGTGAAATTGACAGATGAAACTTTCAAGATGGCGACTGGTCGCTATCTGGGAAAAAAATTAAATGGAATCTTTTTGAAGCTTCTGAAAAATGCTTCACAACCCTAGAATATAATGTCATTATCTTCAACTTCTACAAATGGTGGAACTTTTAATATTAGCCTGAATTTAACTAAATTATATGAGGTAATAGCTTGAGGTCAGTTCATCTTTTGACGTGAAATTTGAAGCGTTTGGGTGTTGAAAAACAATTGATAAAACTCACCTGCGACAGTACGCTCGAGTGGATAGTAGCACTTGATATGTGCATTTTACGCTCGAGAATGTCGAAATGACGTTATTTTTTTACAACTTTGCTGCCCTCCCCTTTCTTTACGTCACTCTCAAATTGTCAGATTACTGGAATATACACTTTTTAGCAGGTAATTAACTCACCCTACCTTAATCTGACGCGCTCGAGAATTTCTGATGATCAATTTTATTTTACTAATCTGTTTCTTTATCCCTCACAGGCGGTCTTATATATGGGGCTCATATTTGGTGGAGGTTCTTAACCGGGTACAAGGTATCCCCCTGTATATTAATCTGCCCGCTTGGGCTCCCCTAATATTATTGTTTCAACAACATTTTGTAGCAGTGGTTTCTAAACTTGAACTTTTTAATGTGACCATCATCACACATAGATCTTGATTTTTTTTCCAAATTTCAATGAAATCCATTCTTGAGATGTTTTCTCACTTATCCAAAATACATTTTACAAAGTAACCGGTTGAGATATCTAAACACGCAGTCAAAAATGGAATTCTAATATAAATGACGCGTAGCCTCTACATGTTATGTTCTTACTTATCAAAATTGATTTGCATGATTTGAACTTGCAGTTTTTATCTACAAACTTACAGTTAAAAATAGTGAAAAACAATCGTTGAATTTAAATGAACCATAGTCAACTGGTGGACCGTATCTACAAACAAGTTGATAAACAGAGTTATCAACTTATTGTTACGGAACGAAATATAGAAATGAGATTATTTGGTTTGTTGATTGGAGTCGGTATGAAAATGAATATTTCGAGTGAAAATTGAAAACGTCAACTTTCCTAGCTTTCCTGGGAGTGGAAACTAGTGTAGGATCTGGAAAATGCCTGCTGAAAAACTAATTCTCATCTGGCTAATACTTCAACAGATGTTGCATTACATTCATCAGATATTTGTGAGGTTTCCAAACGGAAAATAAAGATGTGAAACGTTTGTCTTCCTCTTTGAAATATTATTTTCTTCGAAAAAACCTGTTTTTAAAGAGTTTTTAATAATTGGCATTGGATCTCCTAGGTGCGGTGTGCCTCAGGTAACAGTATTGAGACCTATTTGTTCATCTTTATTATATATCAACGATATTTATGAATTGAATATATCTGAGTTATTGTTATTTGCACATTGTTTGCAAAATTGTATCAAATTTAGTTCCATACAACTTTGTTCATCAGTATTTTTCTCGTAAAATTGAAAATAAACGTTATTACACAATGATAAGATTTTACCCTCTCCTTTTCTCGGGTATAAATCGAAAAATCTTGATACTGGGACAAAAATGATGGGGACCAGAATTGTAGAATATTTTATTCGGAACAACTTTGTTCACTACAATTTTTGTCGTAAAATTGAAAATAAACAAGTTGTTCAATAAAAAAAATCACCCATTCTTTTCGGTATAACTCGAAAAATATCGATCCTAGGAAAAACTGAGTAGCAATCAGTCGATTTTGACCATATTCCACATAGATAATCTTTATCACTTTATCTCAGCCAAAACTTTTAATATTGCAGTCATAAGTTACCTGTTGGATTGAGGTAGATTACTTTTGGCATATTCCCTCCGCCCTCTTCTGTATATTTTTTGCAATTTTCCAATGCTTCGATCAATTTCTTTGGAATAACTCCATAGCGATCTTGCTCCACTCCAATTACTTTTATATTGTATGGTTTCAACTGAAAAGGAAATAGTAAATGACAACTAAACATGTAATATTGAAGAAATATTTTGAAGGTATCAAAATTTGTTAATCTATATACCAATTACCAAAGAAATGGAACCGGTCTCTGTCTAAATGTCTTCCGAATACAATTCAATATCCGTTGAGGTATTAGTGCAGAAAGTAACATATTTTTAACAACGATTACTTTTGACGAGGCATCTGAAATGGAATTCTCTCGCTCTCCCTCTGACTCTCGTCTCTCGATGCGCGTTTTGCTAACCAAGTTGGCATCATCAGGGAATGAAAAATTTTAGTTTAGTTTGAAAAAAATGCAAGACAAAAACTTATCAGATCTTTGGCTGGAAATGGATATCATTTTTGGACTTAATACTCATACTATTTGTTCGTTTTTGCAAATTGTTATAAAGTAGGTGGTTTTTGTCACTGGAACGTTCAGTGTTCATAACATATTTGTTTTTTTTTCAAGAATAACGCCAACTACAAGGTTACAACGAATATTTGCATACGATCTTGATAATATTCTGGGGCCTGGTATACAGTGTCATCCCCAAAATATGCACCATATGGGAAACTTATTTATTAAGGGTTTTTCTTCAAAAAGTTTCGACAAAAAGTCTTGATAAAAGTTTGTGCGTACATAAAACTAGACATGTACCAACAAAATACAGGACAACACACGTAATATACAAGGATCCTTCAAATATTTGATTTTGTGACAGGAGTAAAGTACTCTTATTTTGAAAACTCTCGGGAAATGTTATTTGAAAAAGTTGTTCAGCATTAAAAAATACATTTAGATTTGAAGACATGGCCATCTAAGTGAAGTTTAATTTGTTTACCCGTTTTTTAAAATGGGGACTACAAAAAAAAGTTTGGTAAAACGATAAATAGGCAACATCATGTATACGACGGTTCATTTTAAAAGCCTGTAACATTAGAAATTACTCAACTATGGTGTTAACCACGGTCAATTTTTTCGAAAAGTAAATTATTTTCAAAGTTTTTAGTGCAAACTTATTTTTATTTTTTGTTAACAATTACTCAAAATTATGCAGTATTGTAACAAGAACTTGATATTCAATAATGTCAAATCACAAAACATCAAAATAAAATAGGCATTTCGGAACGAACTCATTGATTTCCTGGAGATTTTCTTGTCCAAAATAAGTGTTTAAAGTTGAATCTCCAGAAAATCAATGAGTTTGTTTCGAAATACCAATTTTTTTTTTGATGTTTTGTGATTTGATATTTTTGAGTTATTAAGTTCTTGTTACGATACTGTTTAATTTGGGGTAATTTTCGATGTTAACAAAAAATTAAAATTACTTTGCACCAAAAATTTTTGAAAATTATTTTACTCTTCAAAAAATTGACCGTGGTTAACACCATAGTTGTGTATTTTGTAATATGACAGGCTTTTGATATAAATCGTCGTATACAGGGTGCTATCTATTTATCATTTAAGCAAAAATTTTTTCCGTAGTCCACATTTTTAAAAAATGGGTAAAAAATTAAACATCACTCTAATGGCCATGACTCCAAATCTAGATGTATTTTTCAATGCTGAACAACTTTTCTAAATAACATTTTCCGAGATTTTCTCTCATCTCAAAATCAAATATTTGAAGGCTCCTCGTATATTAGGTGTGTTTTACTGTATTTTGTTGGTACATGTTCAGTTTCAGGGGATACACAAACTTTCATCATGAATAACATTTTGTCGAAAAACCCTTCATAAATGAGTTTCCCATATGCTGCATACTTTGGGGATGACACTGTATGTGACTGAAGTAATTATTTGGTCTATATAATGAAACTGGATTGTATGTATGAAAGTACCCACATATTGGGATTATAAACTTGTGATTCTCAATTGCAAAATTGAATCATGATCAAAATCATAATGATGATCGGCTTCATTTCCAGCAAGATGGAGCACCTCCTTACTATGTTGCTCCGGTAAGAGAGTTATTAGATGACCGGTTTCCAGGACGGTGGATTGGAAGGAGAGGCCCCATTGAATGGCCTGCCAGGTCACCTGGTTTATCGCCTTTAGACTTTTTTCTTTGGGGACAGCGCAGCCCGAGTCCATAGAAGATCTTCGCCAACGAATTACAGCAGAGTGCAGAAGTATAACACCTGATATGCTACAGAATGTTAGGAATAGATTTGAACAAAATCTGTATTATTGTATGGAAGCAAATGGGTCACATTTTCAGCACTTGCTGGAGTAGGATTCAACTAATTCAATTACACATTTCAAAGTACTGGGTTGTAGTTGTTTTTCTTCATAATACCTACATGTTTGAGTGAAATACAACAAATTAGGTATCATTGGAAAGATAATTTTGTGCCCTTTCAAATGATATATCACTCAACCCCACTTTCCATTTAAAATTTTAGGGTTGTTACTCACCCTCGCTAGGGGGTTGAAGGCACAGGTAGAAAAATACATCTAAAATGTGTCCCCCTCAAAAGCAAAATTTACCTTTCCGAGCGTTTTTGCGTTAAGTTACAAAAAAAGGAGGAAAGCCAGGTGCATACTTTTCGTTGGACCACTCTGTATGTAGACTTGGTACTTACAATAGCTTCAGTTCCAGCATAGTATGGATCTTGAACTAGAATGCTATCCCCTTCGTTCAGGATCATCTCAAGGGCCTTGCTCATTGCTTCCTGTGAACCACCGGTAACCAAAGTTTCGTATTTATCCCAGTTCGATACATCGTGAACACGTCTCATGAACTCCTTGACTGACTTTACAAGAGGGGGGTAACCTTGAGTCGGAATGTATTGGAGAGCTGCTGTAAGTTCCTGTCCTGCGATATCGAACTCGGTACCATCTTTAAGCTTGACGGTGAATTTTTCAAAAGGAAACGTGACTTCGTTTGGTACACCTTCGGCCAGAGAAATCAAGTCCTTGGAAGCACCGTACTGTCTCTTGGCTGGAAGAAAGGTTTCGATGAAAGGGTTTCAATGAAAGTAGAATGTAGAAAATGGTTCCTCTGATTTTTTTCAGATTTCGATCAGAGTTACTGTGATTTTCAGAAGGGTGATTGTTGAATGCTTACTATAAGTCAAAGAATGGAAGACAGTTATGAAGAAATCGATGAGAATATATCTATTAGAATAATCAAAGAGTAAAATATTCTTGAAGTTTTTCATATTTCAATACGTATTATAACTGTTCAATAATGAATGAATTTCTTTCCTGGAATGGTTCACAATTATTTTGTATAAAGACAACAAAATCTATTCTTTGAGAGATGGGGCTTGACATAGAATCATTCAAATCAAAATCAAATCAAAAAATCTTTATTTCCGTAGACCTAGGGAAGGCATGGAAAAAGTCACATTACTCAGTACAATTACAATGAGGTCACAATCATAAAACAACATAATTATAAGATATACTATATAACATTTAGACCATAAAAGGGATACAAAAATTAAAATTTAAAATTCCAAATCAGACTGAAAAAATTCATCAAGCGAATAAAATACCTTTTCACATAAAAGTTTTCGAACTTTTTGTTTAAAGAGCTTTACACTAGTTATTTTTTTAATGGATATTGGGAGCTTGTTGTACAGTTTTATTGACATGATATGAGGTCCATTAGTCACCTTGGCTAACTTATGACTAGGAATTAAAATGTTATAGTTTTTTCTCAGGGTGAAGCCCGAAAGAAGACATGTATCATCTCTGTTCTGAAACTTGGAGCAATTTGATTTAACGTAGATTACGCAATTAAAAATATACATGCAAGTAACAGTTAATATATTCAACTTTGCAAATAGGGGTTTACAGGAATCGAGTGGTTTTTTTAAACAAATTGTTCTAATAATCTTTTTCTGGAAAATTAATAAGACACTGATTCTATTGCAGTTGCCAAAACAAATAATACAGTAATTGAGGGCAGAGTAAACATATGCATAATAGTAACTTTTAAGAATTTCAATAGACACAAAATTACGCAGATTACATATGACGAAACAGTGTGTCGCTAATTTCTTCAGTATGAAATCAACATGATGATTCCAATTGAGTTGGGAATCAATAAAAACTCCTAAAAATTTTTTATAGTTTACCTGTTCAATAATTTTAATCTCAGACCTAACCAATACACTACAGTCAGTTTCCTGAATTGTAAAGAGAATGGTGTTGGTTTTAAGATTATTTAGAATCAAGCCATTCTTAGAACAATAATTTTGCATGTTGGATACAGCATCATTTGCTCTTACTGACAATGTTTCACATTCCGAACCACTGACAGTAAAAGATGTGTCATCAGCAAATTGTATAGAGCTCTGTGGATGATTAATTTTTGAAAGGTCATTAACAAATAAAATAAATAGTGTAGGCCCCAAAACACTACCTTGGGGCACACCCACATTAGGTTGTTACAAGAGTATAATGTCGTATAATACGATGCCAACAGGTTTGTATATGTGGGAAAGAAAGTTTTTGGCTTTCTACTACTCCATTTTGATACAAAAAAAGATGAGGGAATCTTCCAAAGAAAGGAAGGAAGTAGTCAATTTGAAAATAAGTAACTTTATACATGGAAGTGTAGATCATGCAAAGAAGTAACTTTCAGACAAAAACTGAAAGAAAGTCCTCCTTAAACAGCTACTTTCATATAAACATTGAATTACACGAAAGAAAAAAATTCTTTCGAAACAGATACGTCTACGTGAACACTGAATTATACAGAAGATACTTTTCTCTACTCAGTTTGTATTTCAAACATTCGTTGTGGAATAAAATTAGATATCATTCACATGAGTTCTACTTTAAATGAATGGTAACAAATTGCACTTACATGGAACACTGTCATCCTCACTGGTATACATCGATGTTTCGCCTTAAGACACTTGCCCTAAGGCTCTTCAGTACCAAATTGGATAACATTATAGAAAATACACACAATTAATTCATGGATTACGATTTTTAATGTCACGGAATAAGCTTGATCTGCTCATGTCATCGATGACATCGTAATGACATTCATTCACCTATTTGATTTAATCCCAGCCAAGACGATTCTTATTTGAATTGAATCGGTTACATATATGAATATTTTTTTTTCTAAAAAATATAACCCCTTCAATTTATATATGTGTTTTTCGAATCTTAAATTACATTCAGTCTCCACACCAAGATTTTCTAAAGAGCTAATTGGTCACTGATGGCTGGTAAAATGAAGTAAAGTGAGGGCTGCTGAGGTAAAAATACACGAAACATTTCTCATAGCTGTTGTTTACAAAAAAAATCACTCGTAACATTAGACAAGAGTCGAGTGATACCTCATTGAAAATCTCATGAATTCCATCCATTCAAAAATCATCTTGTGCTATGAGATGATGTGACAGATACCAAAGAATTTTTTGGGTGATTTGCAGAACGAATAATAAATAACCAACCCTTTTTTGGCTGTCATAGGCATCGACTACATTGATGACAGTCTATTGATAGATTTATATTTGTTCAAACGTGTTCAGGAAAGTAGATTTGAAGGTGATCAAGCTGCATCAACTGAATTGTTTTCATACTGATAAAATGTTGGATGAAAGTTATGATAAATTTCAATTCTGACCTAGATAAAAGTCGGCGGAATGTTTATTGCTAATTACTGATTACATGACTTTTTTAAATGATGATCTAAAAGTTTGAATTATATTATCTTCGAAATATTTTGTAATAAATTACTTAACCCAAACCCAATATAATTGGTTTTCTTGTGGCCTCATAGAAGATAATTGTTGCAAAATATAGGCTATCGAGTAAAAAAACTGTGTTATCAGAAGAAGTGATATGAAATTCGACTTTTCACCCAAAATAATTGTCATGATAAGCAAAACGGTCTGTTTTGCTTATCATGTTTTGTGAAAAAACAATGAAAAAGTATTTCCATGAATATGCACTTGAAAAACTTTCAAAAATTATAGCAAAAAAATCCACAGGCAAATGACCTATTAGCTTATACTCAAGTCATTCGCATGTACAATTTTTGAAAATTATGTGCAAATTTTCAACCAACTGAATTTGATGCCTTTGAGATTATAACCTTTGATAGATCCACGAAAAACAAAATGTAGTAGATTTTTTCTTATGAAATTTCTTTCAAAAATACGGGTAGAAACTTTCAGAAAAAATATCATGAAAGCAACCAATATCAAACAGTCAGGGGATCATGAAAATTATAACGAATATGGTTTTTGAAATAGCACGATTTCCATAAAAACTCTTTGTTCTGTCTAATCAACTATTTTGTTGCGGGCAAACATTATTCAGAATGATATCTGTTTGATACTGAAAATTATTGTTCTATTGATCGAAAACTATGTAGATGATACAGGAATGATACCATAGCGTCTATTTTCTCAATATTTAACACTGATGAAAAAAAAACTAAAATTAAAGAACATTCAGTTTGACTTTTTTTCATTATACAAGCTAGTTTAGAGTCCAGATGAAGGGGGGGGGGGCAAAATAAAGCATTCATCCAGCGCTGTTCCAATCTAACATAGGTCATATTGGTGGTACTGGGCTGAATCTTGCTGCATTATTATCTTCAATTTTCGTTGAAGGACAGTAAGATCATTTTTATCAATATGAAATATTCCATGAGAAATTCGAAAAACAACGATTACATTATTATGTATATTATATCACAATACTGGCAGACGTCAATATGATAGGTATTTCAGATTGAGGAATACACAAACTGATGAAAAACTCCAACACGAACATGATTTATCACATCCTAACCAAAACACTGTTCAAACAGGCCTCAATCAGAAAGAAGGATAAAGAAAAAGAAGGAAAAAATCAAAAGGAGTATGTTTAAATACGTTTGAACGTTGACCAGCTGTCGTACCCCTACGAACGACAACCCTCAGAAGCCAAAAATTGTGCGAGCTAAGGACTAACGAGGTCTTACTTTTAACGTGTGATTCCCAACACGGGTTAGACGATAGCAAGTGAAAATCAATCGTTCAGCCTGAAGCTTGAACCACCGACTCACATATTGGTCGATTGAGAGAGTGAACCCACGTGGAACCGCCCGGCTACCGACCTACCAAAATATATAAATATAAAATAAATACAAAAAAAAGAAGAAATGAAACAAGAAGAGACATAATGTGTATGTATGTGAGTGATAGATAACTCGTTCATAAAACAAGAAACTATAAAAAATGAAAAAGAAATAATAAACAATGAATGAAATAGTGAGAGAAAGAAGAAAAAAAAGCTCCAGAAAAACAAATTATTACTAACAAAATACTAACCTTTAAAAATAAGGAAGAGTGTATTTTGCTTGAAAATATTAATAAATTGTAGAAATTTCACATGTAGAAATACTGGCAAATTGGTTAAACCAACGCTATTTGAACTCACCACAGACACAGTTGGCCTGTTTCAACAGTTTTTTGTTAGGGATATGATAAGAGAAAAATATTTTGTAGATGGTTTACTCAGTTAACATCGACATGATAATGAAATCTGTAATGAGATATTATGGTGCAATGAGAGTAGATTCACAAATAACGGATGGTTCAACAGAAATATTCATCATCATTGGCGACAAAAAACCACCTTCCTTCAAATTTCCAAGATACATTTGGAGTTGATATTCGGCTGGGTGTGCTAGACACCAAGATCATAGGTCCCTACTTTTATGAGACATTATTATTGACGGAGGAATTAAATTTCTAATTCTTGCCGGAGGCTCTAGTTGAGTTGTTGGAAGAGTTGCCTTTGATTATTCCGTGGAAATATCAGTATTTCCAACATCATTGAGCTCTGCCACATGGCAGAACTATTTGCAGAAATTTTCTCAATTTGACTATATCGGGACTATGGCTGGGAAACAATGGTTCTATTAAATATGTATCGTTTATTTAGCACAAGCTAATGCAGTTACAATATTAGTCTTAATCTAATTTAAAAATTTAAATGTCAAAATTAAAATTTAAAATTTAAAATCATGTACATTGAAACATATAAATAAAAACAGCACAATAAATAAAATGGAGAAAAAAAACTGTATTAGCAGGTTCCTATACTAAACACTTTGTAGGTCTAAAAGGTGCACTTTTAATTTTCTTTTAAATATATTTAGAGAGGTAGCATTCTTAATATCCTCCGGTAGTTCGTTGAATGCTTGAACTCCTTTAATGAAAACTGTATTATTTAAATGTATTATTATAAAGTACTATTCCCGTGTAAAGAGGACTGGATCTTTCGGGAGAAGGCAATATTGAGAGCAGATAGTTGTTGGTTCACAGGTGTATCAAAAACACCTTTCGATTCTGGTGCAGGTGTTTTCAGTCGCAGACCCAGGACAGAGTTATCTACCTGCCTAGGAACTTATGCGACTGTATCTCAAGCGGAAATTTACGCTATTGATTTGTGTGCGGAGAGATTGGATAAATCCAACCTCATTCATGAGTCAATAAAAATATGCTCGGACAGTCAAGCGGAGTTGAAAGCTCTTGACTCCTACCGAGCAACGTCAAAATTGGTAGCAAACTACCAAAAACGACTCTCCTCGATAGGAAGACTTAACAAATTGTCTCTGGTCTGGATTTTTGAGCATACTGGCCTGGAAGGCAACGAAGCTGCTGACTCTCTTGCAAAGGAGGGTGCTGCAAGCAGCTTCATTGAACCAGAACCTTTCATTGGCATCGCTTTGGGCTTTGCCAAACAAACACTCAACACCTGGATGGCATGAAGAGTTATGGACTTCTGGCAGAATCTTCCAGGATTGGCTCACTCCAAAGCGTTTATTCACCCTTCGAATCTTGATTTCAAACAGTTGTTGGACTGCAGTAGGGATGAACTACGATGTCTAACAGGCCTTTATGCAGGTCACTGTCATCTGATTCATCATATGCAGAGACTTGCTTCGCCTCTGTCTGAAGAATGATGAAACAGCAGAGCATATACTTTAAGCCTACCCCGCTGGGGACCAAATCAGGTTTTTTGAGTTCGGCAGATCCGTACTCTCACCATCTGAGAGACCTGAAAGACCTGAAAGAACAGTCACCATACACACAAATCGGCTTCGTTAAGAAGCTGGGTTCATTTGGCTGATTGTGAATAGATGTAGGCCACAATGAACCCTTGCGGGTTGCGGTGGAGGGTCGAATAGACTCATTCACTTTAGACTTACCTACCAACCTATTAAGTGGACATCACATTTAACTGAGATGACCCTTCAGAAGTTTTTATTGTGGTGCTTCATTGAGATAAGGTATTCGGCACTACTTTTAGCAAATTGAGAAGTTGAAAGAAACAATAAGGAGGGCTTGCATGGGTACAAATTCTGGAAAAATATCTTAAAATACTATTGCAAGAGCGAATATGTGTTCAAAGAATGAAGTACGGTAGTTTACATATTAAATGAAATATGGTGAAGGACGTAGATGTTTGTGAGTAAAACAACCGCCTGTATGTTGCCTAACTGAAATTGGTATTATTATTTTCAACTGCCAAATGAAATTTGCAATTTGATTTATTCCTAAAATATCACAAAGACAGAAACACCTCGTAATGTAATAGGGAAATCACCCACCGAAATTATAACGTAAAATACGATTATCTCCCTTTTTCAACGCCGATAATGGGAATATGGAATTTATTCCTTATGAAAATGACTTTTCTTATAGACACAGCATTAACTTTGTTTGTAGTGATGAATGCGACTCTCAATTCAATAAAGTTTCAACGTAATTGACATCAATTACTGAATTACCGTGTTAGGAATCACACTTTAAAAGCTAAAACCTCGTTAGTCCTCAGTTCGCACAAGTTTCTCAACTTCTGAGAGTTGTCGTTCGTATGGGGGCGACAGCTGATTAACGGAAAAACAGATTACAAACAGATATTACTGGAGTTTTTTCCAAGAGGAAGATCAAACTCAGTTTGATCTTCTTCTTGAAGATGACCACTTAGTAATCGAAACACATGTTGAGGTGTTAAAATAATGGTTTGGTGTTGGGAAAAAACTCCAGTAATATTCATTGCTACGGTGCATCATAAGTATGATTTACTGCTTAAAAAGGTACCGATTTGAGAACTTAAAAAAAAAGGAGAAAATATTTCATAACATTCTCAAATTACTCACTTATCTCCCTTGTCAAGGCAGGACGTCTTCTCACAGAGCGATTGTTCATGAAGTAAGAATAATCTATCACTTGAGACATGTCGTTTAGAAATGTTTCGGAGTTGAAGATTGAAAAAAAAACGTTCAGTAAGAATCTGAAGAAAAGCACAATACGAGACACTGGAGTGGAATACTGTTTCCACTTTGGGATTCTGACTTTATATTGGTCTCTTCGCTCGATAAAAATACATGATGTAATTCTATTCATGAAGCGTCAGCGATAACAAGAAATGTTTAACGGGCCCAGCAATCTTAATTCTTGTTTTTAATATTGTGAATAAATTTGAAGGGATCTGTTAAGGATGAACGTCGATAGTTACTTCAAAAAATGCTGATTTGGAAAAATAAATGGATACTAGTGTCTGATGATAGAAAGAAACTATTTTAGTACTTTTGATAAGAAAGCCAATCGTGTGATTTACGATTTCTTGTGATTAGCTTTATAGATAAGATTCCACACTGTGCTAAATTAGGAACAGACAGTATTATGTTGGCTTTGTAGCTGTCACTACCCAACTAGCAATTTCGTATTTTATAATAGTTGCGGAAACGTTTCGGAGAAACAAATTATAAAACTGCATTTCTCAAAGAAATGTTTTCAATATGTTTATAAAACTGCTATAAATAGGAAATTAATTCAATAATTAGCTTCAATAATTGACCAGATATTTGATAATTCAGGCCTATATTTTCAGTTGATAGTTTTGTGTTTTTGAAGCTGGATTTGACTCATTTTATCTACGTTTTTGGTGTATATGTTCACCATAGTTCCGTCGTTATGGGTAAATAAAACCAACTCTCATGGCCAAAAATTGATGCTGATAAGCTAATACGAAACCACAATTCTATGCCCGAAGCCAGTTGGTTTACAATGATGTATAAACTAAAACAAAGTCATTTGATGACCTACCAAATTGCCGAAGAAGAACTATTAGAACGAATGCTGAAGAATGACGATACAGAACAAGAAACAATTATCAATTCTATGCAACCTAAAAAGCAAGCAGGGTTATTTTCAGCTATAATATCCCAAGGACATTGATAACTAACGAAATAATTTTATCACAGTTTTCGAAAGCACGTTATTTGGTAACATCCCGACGCCGAAGGCGGAGGGATGTTACCTAAAATAACGTGCTTGAGGAAGTTGTGATAAAATTATGAGTTATTTGTCAATGTTCGAGGGATATTCGGTGAGAAAATTTTTTGCAATTCGAACAAAATTACTGAAATGTCAAACAACTTTATTGTGTTGGTTGCTTAGCAATGTCATGACATAAGTGATAACTACCCGTGAAAACTATCCATGGGTAGTTATCAGTGTAATGATGGCTTCATTGGTTATTTCGACACACATGACTAGAAATAGACAAATTTGATAGGATAATTTTTTTGGCAAAAAATTTTCATCCAAACAAGTTGTCACAAAAAGTGTGAAAAAGCCAGAGTTATGTATCTTTTATGGGACACCGTCTATATGACAGTAGTTATTAGTTATTCGAGGAGTTACTTCTGAATACTGTCTGTGAAACATACCTTGCTGTACCTGAATTTGTCATCAATAAAAGAGTTGTAACACGAAACTGCTTCACTCAGAACAAAATATCCAGGTTTCCTGAATAGATAACTAAAAACTGAAACTGCAAACCCTTTGTATTTTACAGTCTTCCCAATTGTGAATAATAAGGTTGAGTTACTAAACTCAATGCCTTGAAAATATTGAATTTACTCATGAGGTACCTATATTCAATAAAAATAAAATATTTAGAAGTTGCTGAAGAACTAATTTCCACCACGACATCAATGGTGTTCCACTTGAATAACTTAACAAAAATATTCTTACTAAATACAACTAAAATTTTGAAGAATTTTCCAAAGCTGTGATTAGCTGGTTGTTCTTAAATGCTGCATTTTATTCTTGGTGGCAGCAAATATATATTAGCAAAAGCAATTTGATTTTATAACAGTTATGTTAGTGTTTTGGAATTGTAGTAAATATACCATACTATAAAATAGTTAAGAAATTATCATTGAAGTGACAATATGGTAATGAAGATAAAATTGTGTCTGAAAGCATTTTAATAAAATAATTTTATTAAAGCTACATAAAACAGTTATAAAATAAGCTTGAAATAGTTTTATAACTATCATAAAATCTCGCAGAAAAGTGTTATGAAACCGCTACAAAACAATTCACTTTTCTAGGAAAATGAGTTTTATAAGTTAGTTGTAAAAACGTTTTTGTGATAATTTCCCGACTATTTTATAATGGTTTTTTAATTTTACTTCATAAACATTTCTATGACAAATTTATTAAACACTTTTATTGCCTACAACTGTATTGTGTTCACCGAACATATAATACAATCAATTAGCATTTTGGAAGTAGTTATGAAATACTAATAAAATAAAACTGTTGCAACACCATGGAATTATAAAACAACTTTGCTGGTTGGGTATGATACTCGTCCACCAGATTTAACTCCTCTCGATTGTTTCCTTTGGAGCAGCTGTATCAAATCGTTGTCACACACTTCATGACCAGAACTTCTGAAAAAATTGAATGGCATGAGCCAACCGATAAGCTGACATCCTCAGGAACTTTTTATTTTAAGGACAAACGTTGGTAAAACGTTCTCAGGAGGTTCATTCCACATAACCGCAGTTCACCTGATAGACAGTAAAGTTCGAATTGTACTGAGTTGAACCTCAAAACGATGAGCAGCCACAGTCCGTCGCGTATTTCTGATAAGTACCGCTCTTGGTAGAATCAAATGTGCCAAGTTAGTTGAAAACTTCCCGTGGAAGTATGTATAGAAGAGAGACAAATCTCCAACCTTTCTTCGATGTTCCAAGCTATCAAGATTACACGTGGTGTTCGCATTGGCCAGTCAATATACCCACAAACATTCACGATGATAATGGTAAACAGATGACTGCCTCGAAAATGGCTGAGCAGTTTAACATCAATTTCACTAGAGATCCATTTTCGGTAAATCAGCATGATCTGGATTATCTGAAGTTGAATATGCCAGTCTCAAAAAAATCGCTTTTATTAAAGCCAGTTACACCTGTAGATGTCAAAATATTGATTGGTAATTTGAAATCTTCCAACACAAGTGGTTTTGATGAAATATCAAATAACCTACTAAAATTCGTGTGCAGGCTTATGTAAACCATTGGCTTTTCCCATCAATCTTGTTTATTCTGAAGGAATTTTCCCAGAATGCTTGAAGTTAGCTGCGGTTCTGCCATTATACAAAAAAGGTGATTCTGATGACTTTTCCAATTATAGAGCCATCAGTTTATTGTCAAGTCTCTCTAAACTCATTGAAATGGACTCAACTAATCATTCTTGTGGACTCAGAGACTGTTATCCAGAAATCAACATGGATTCTGTAAAAATATGAGCACAGAATCTGCTCTGTGTGATTTTCAAAAATGTCTTGTAGGCAATCTTGATAAAAGAAAATATGCTTTGGGTCTTTTCATTGACTTTTCAAGAGCTTTCGAATCGTATGGAGTTAGGGGGACACCGCTAAAATTATTTGAATCATATTTAAATGGCAGATGTCAGGTTGTTAGACTGAATGGAGTTCTGAGTAGTTACCGTGAAATAAATCGAGGTGTACCTCAAGGATCTGTATTGGGATCTTTATTGTTCGATATATTTGTAAATGATATAATCCGTCCATGGAAATAAACCACGATATAAAAATAGTGTGTTATGTAGACGATACCAATTTACTAATTTTTGCTACTGAGTAAAACAGAAAAGATGTATGAAGATAACATTCGTTGATCTGAAAAGAATCGTCTCTTACTGAATCATAACAAAACAGTCACACTATTTTTGGGCACTCCAAACAAAGATCACCTGTGTTATTCAAAAATACAGAAAAACAAATAACTTGTAGTGATGAGGTGAACCTTTTGGGAGTAATTTTCGACAAACATATGCAATTGACACGTCATATAGAACTATTGTCTAATAATCTGAGAAGTAGTAGCTACGGCATAAAGTATATGGAAGGCCACTGCAGCAAAAATGTCTTGCTTACCCTGTACTTTGCACATTTCCACTCCCACATGAAGTATGGTATACTGAATTGGGAAAATAGTGCTGGTATGAATCGGATCCTCATTCTTCAAAAATACGAGATGATATGAGAACCAGTTGTCGTCAATACTTTATAACTCTTGGTGTATTAAGAGTTTACAGTTTATATATACTGGAAGCTTGCACTTCCAGTGGACAGAGTGTTCTGTCCACAAATTTTTCCCTTTTTGATTTATATCATACACACTCAATAACATATTTATCTCTGTATTTATATCCTGGACCCGGAAGTCACGCAGGTTGCTATAGCTGCCTACGTGGTGATGTTAGATGATGCCTGGGAATGCTAGGTCTTCTAATTGAAACCACAAATGTGCGGTTAGCTCCTGTTGGTGACACCGTACATATGTGAAAGTTTTCCATTTTTGGTAACCAGTTGTTGTTGCAATTGGCTGCACCGCGCTGATGAGGCCAATAGCCAGAAACACGTGTCCGCGGTTTGTCTCCATTTTTGGANTTTTTTATGGTAATAATTTCTTTATTTTTAAACTGTATTATTGATGTTTTTTTTATATACACGTATACGTAAATTTGTAATTGTTTATATGTCTTTGTTCAATGTAACGAAATATTGACGTTTTTAATCATTTATGTAACCTTTGTGCATTCAAATAATAAAATAAAGGAATATTATTATTATATTTTATATGTCTCAAATTTAGTCTTTATTTGAGACATACCATATATTTCGACAGATTTCTAACGTTTTGCCGAACTCATTGATGTGGTTTTATTTTCACGGTTTCAAAAGAAATCATCATATCTTTGCATGTTATACCTAATATGGTTGATCGAAATCATTCGGCACCCAAGTTTTGATATAATGATGAAATAGTTTTTGTTTTGAGCTAGTGATAGGTGCTGTACAAACATTCTGCCAAAGATCCAACTTTCCACACATCCGATGTAGAAATAATTATTTTTCCCATGGATTTTGAAAACTAATTTGCCACCATGATGGTCAGAAGGTTACTTGACAACTTTCTACAGAGGAATCTGAATCGATCTACTAATATTTGAAAAAAATCAAGTA